CTTGTTATTTTTTAAGAGCTTGATTTCAGCCTTCAGTTCAGTAATTTTAATTTTCAGGGCCAATTCTATATTCTCGAGATAATCTGCAAAGTTGTTCGCCTTTTCTGCATCGCTTACTATCCAGGAACCATCATCCTTCCTAATATGGGGCACTTGATACTTAGATCTTTTAATATTTTTAACAGCTTCCCGCAAGGAGTAATTGTGGTCCTTGCCAGCCGATAAGTTTTCTAAATACTTGGCTATAGATGCATTTTCTATTTCTTTTAGAAGTTTCTTTAGTTTATTCCCCAGAAACCGCGAAATTTGCGATACTTTGCGTCCTCTCCTTTTTCAGCGATCAGGTTACTTACTTTTAGAGTACACATCACATTTTCTTCCGAGTAGCTACTTCAGGCTGTGCCGTGTACATTTGTTATGAATAGATCAAACTCCCAAGTATGTTTTTAAATAAGCCCCATTTGGTTATCCGCTTGGTTAGTTTGCAAATGTCACTTTTGAGTATCACTGCTTCCGAGAACGTTAATATAACTGGAGAGTGATCAGAGTTTAAATCGTAACTTTCGGTTATATATGTATAATTGTCCGAAATTCCTCTAGTTATGAAAAAGTCCAATAGGTCTGGAATTCCGTTTCTGTCTGTTGGCCAATAGATTGGCTTTTTGGTGGAGTGAAAATTACAACCGATTTCAGCTGCTGCTTCGTCAATAGCCCTAACTTTCGAAGTCGTGAATCTGGACCCCCAGAAAGTGTTTTCTGCATTGAAGCGGTCATCGATCAGGAAGTCTTTACCCACATGATCAAGCACTGATTCATAATCAGCTACGTTTAAATTGTAGCGTGCGGGACAGTAAATGGAAGAAATCACTAATTCCTTATTTTTAACGTTGACGTTGATGCTTAATATTACTTTTGATAAAGATTGATGAGCCGCCTTTAGCTTTATCAAGATCTATTCCACTGTAGCACTTATAACCATTAATTTTTCGGTTACTTTCTTTGATAAAATGGGTTTCTGTAACCAAGAAATAACCTAACGAACGGACACTAATAAATAGTTCGAAAAATTTCATATAACTAATTATAAGAAAAGGTAAAGAGGCTAGAGCAAAATGGTGCAGAAGTTGGTTTTCGAATAAATGCGAACAAAAAAAGTGATTAGGGACAGACGCATACAACATTTTAATTCATTTTTATAATTACTTTCTCACACATTTCTATAATATTAAAAATATTTCATATTTCTTTTGATGTCCTTATATTATAAGTGCCAATATTCAATTTTTTTGACGAAATATTACGAATTTTTTTACGTAAAAAAGAGTTTAATATTTTAAAAAATCTCAGGATATTATACACATTTTTTAAAAAGCTTACTATTTAAACTCTGTTGCACGGAAAAGAAAGAAAGGTAGGAGGAAAGAAAAAATGAAAATTTTTCAAATTCATATTTCAGTAGGGTTTAAATGTTAATGAAGAAGGATGTATGATTTTTCATGTACATTTTGTACATGAAAAATCATACATACATAATAAGGTACGTTGAGTAGTATCGGCTAACAAAAATGTTAATAAAACTACATGTTTTACATTTCAACAATTTGAGTTATCTCATTTTGGTTATCTATACGTATAGAATTGTTTCAAATAATTTCAATTAGTTTTTAAGTTACTAAAAATAAAGATGTATGTACGAGTAACTACTTCCAATCAATTTTTTTTTAAATAATTATTTTCAAACTATTTCAAACATATTATTCAGTGCTTCAAAAATTTTGTGCTCTTCTTTCATATTTTATTAGCTGGTAAACAAGAGCAATCTCTTTTTAAAATGGCCGTGTGTATAAATCTTAATTGTAAACGCAAACGGACAAAAATTTGAGTATCTAGTAGCTGTCATTTTGCAATTTGAACTTTTGAGTCATTTGCTAAAGTACTATTTATTTCAAAAATAAAAAAAATATTCAAATCCGGTCATAAAAATATATTATTGTCTTCTCCAAAACCTTTTAAATATTTTTTTTATTTGGGTAATATATTAACTTTTTAAAATTTTTCTCAAATAAAAATAGAGGTAAAATTTAGAAGTGTATATAAAATTTGTATTGGTAAAATAATATTTAATTGTATTTTGGATATTATTTTCTTATTCCTTCTTCAAATTTTTCTTTACTATGTATTCATATCAATATTTAATAATTATACTTTCATTTTCATATTTTCATTTATATTTTCAACTTGACACTGCAGTTACTTCCCATATCATGAGTTAACCTACCCTAAGAAAAAAAAGCTGTAGTTCACTTCAAAATAATGAAATGCTTTCAGTACCATATAAAATGTTGAAGGAGAAGGCTGTGCTTGTTGTTTTAAGCTTTTTTGTATGTATTTTAAGAATTTTAAAATAATTGTGAATGAAAATATTAACATATTAAATTGATATTTTGAACATATTTTTGGAATTTTACCTGCTTTTTAATAAGTGTGAGTTTATTTTAATATTTCTTCTCAAAAAATTCACTTCGATTTAAAAAAAAAACCATATAAAACAAGGTCGTGCTTTGAAGTTTCTCTCTTAGCATTGGGACATGTTAGATATAAAAACATTATAGACTTTTATGAATTAAGAAACATATGTATTTTGTAAATAAAAACTAATGTCATATATATCTGCAAGGCCACCAAGCTAAGAGAGTAACTCAAGAATAAATTACAAATGTATATGGACTTGAAATGGAAGGGGCATCGGAAACTATTTGTATGAAACAAATTGATTAATATTTTTAGCTTCACTGATTCTGCATATTTTTTTTAATATAACTAAATTTAGCTTAACTAATTTATAAACTCATACTTCTAAAACCTTATGGCTTTTCAAACTATACTAAATAAAGTAAGTCACAAAGAATAATAAAAAATTTTACAAAATAAAATATTTCAATTAAAATACTTCGGAAACATAAAACATTATGAATTGTTTTTGTAATTTTTTCCGATTGCAAAATTTCAGAAAATAATTTTAGCTTGATGACCTTTATTTTTCTAATTTTTAAATTGTACTTTTCAGTTTTTTTGATGAGAAATTTCTACTTTTCAGTTTTAAAAGAAAATATAACGAAAAATACAAAACAGTAATATTACAAATTCTGACTTGAACCATCTTTTTAAAAAAAAACTGAAAAATAGCAATTTCCTTAAAAAATAATAATAAGCGTTTTTATATGTCACAACCGCGACATTACGAAAAATCAAAGCCTGGACCCTGCTTTTTTGTGAATATATTTGTTAAAATTGCATACATATGAATTTTTGGCGAAATGACATTTCTGAAGAAGCATTTTTTTCTTTGTAGTTTTCTTTTGGAAAAATGATTGTTGCCTATTTTATTTTGGAATTTTCTATACGAAAAGTTGACTAAACCTAAAAATTTTAATATTAAAATGAAATTTGGAGTTTTCTTAGCAACATATTACAAATCCAAATTTTAACTCAAAATTGTAAGAATAATTTTGATTAAATATATTTTCGAGTTTTTTCCGGATTCTTTTGTAACGCTATATCAGATATGTATCTGATAGAATTGAGAGCAAAAAATGATAATACACTGAAAAAAAATTTAGTGTTATATTTTTTAAGTCCAGACAACTTAAAATAAAGTTAAACAAAATTTAGAATTTAATTTAAGAATTTTAGATTTTAATTTAGAATTTAAGTTTGATATCATATTATTTTATATGTATGTATAATCAATAAAAGTATATATTGTGGGAGACATATCGTACATAATTAGCAAACTTGTTATTATCACATGTACATTTTCTTAAATTTGAAAAAATACACAAAAATCAACTTAATACTTCTATACTAAGTATACTATTTACTGAAATCTTAAAAAAATTAACAAAGCCTGGAAGGTTTTCTTTAAATCAATTTTTTTAATGTTTTATTAACACAAAACTTAAAGAATGTGAGCACTAATAAAATAGAAGATTGAATTTTAACTTTTTCAATGCTGGTCTAACCAATGGTTTGTAAAGTAGTAGTTTTCCCTTAGGAAGTGAGAATACGCTTTTTCTAAAAACATTATGGAGCCGTACATAATAATCGATTTCGAGGGTTGATGGCTTCAGTTAAGAAAAACAATTAAATTTTTGATGGGCGTTTATCGTAAGGTTTCAGCTCTTATAGAAATTTGGGAAAGCTAGTTTCAGAAATATGTACATATACCTATACTGCGAAAATTACAATTTTACCAGAGACGATAACTTTGAGATTTTAGATAACAGTACGCAACAGATTTAGATATTAAGAACGTAGAAGTGTGAAGAAGCGTACGAACGGACACTAATAAGCACTATTGAAAATTGCCAAAAAGAAAATGGCAATAAATGAAAGACAAAATAATCAACAACATTGGCATCAAAATTATCAACATCATTTTTAATATTGTTAAGTTTTTTTTAACTATAATAAACGCCAAAAAACTTATGATTTAGAAAGTGTCCAAACATGTCAAAATGATATTGTAAGCGTATCACGTCGGTATAGCATCAGTAACTTTTTTTGCATCAACATTTGTTGTTCCTATTATTGTATTGATGCATTTTCGTACGTGACTTTCACATCGATGCTGCATCGATTACTTTCCGATTATACCCGAAATCACAAAACTTCACAATTACAATGCTAAACTTCAAATTCTATATAATATGTATTACTTAAATCATTATCCGTGTTCAAATCTTAAACCATTATATTGATTAGTAGCCAAATAAATTATTCAAATAGCTTTTCAAAACTCGTTCAGCAATTTTTATTTTATTCTGTGTGGTTCAAATAGCAAAATTGACTTTAAATCTTAATACCAAAAATTTCCAAATCTGTTTAAAAATTTTCAAACCTAAACAAATTAAAATGATATCTTTTTGTGTTTTAAACATTTAAAATTACGTTCAAGTTCGACATTAATATTAAAGATTTTCATAAAATGCAAAGCTTACCCATATATGTAGTAGAAAAATGAAAGTAAATAAACTCCCAATTTAATCCAACCTTCTCTCATATTTTTTGATAAATTATCAGCATTCATTATGTTGGTTGGATCATACAATCCAGGACAACTCATTATTGGTCGATTAGTATACCTTAAAATTTTTATTAGAACTCAAAAACTTTAATAAATAAAGCATAGCCTACCTCCAAATATGATAACCAATCAAAGGTATATTTATGCACAATGAAAACCATTCTCCAGCAAACAGGAATAATAAATTGAAACCTATATGCAGCACGTACTCAGGAAGAACCAGCTTAAACAATTAACATTTCAACAATTAAATTTTAATACCGCTATTGATAAACAAAATAATTTTTCATTACCGGATTCAGGGAATTACACTGGTCTATTGGATTTTTGTAATCTGTTTTAAGTTCATCAAATGCGATTACGTGAAATATTGCAAAAAATATTAGGAAGGCATCAGCAATTAATGCTACAATGTAAGAAAATGCCGCAAAATTAAAAGCCATATTTAAAAATGTTTAAATTAACCCATGCATCAAATTTAATCTATTTAAATTTTATATTGAAGTTGTCATAACTCAGCTGTTTTGATATCGATATTTAAATGGAACTTATCGATATTCTAATATCGAACTTATCGATTTTCGAAAATTTCTAAGTCGTGGATCTAATAATAGGCTCTGTGGTATAAGAAAGTTTTCAAAAACTTTTTAAAACTTGAAAAAACTTTAAAAATGACGATTTTCACATTGTTTAAAATTTTTTCAAGTTTTGTAAAGCAAAATTTTGTGTTTTAAAAACTTTTGAAATCTTATAAAAGTCGAAACATACTATGATTTATTAATTCCGCAACTATGATGTTGTATTAGTAAAATTCATAATTTAATAAGTGCAATAGGCACAATCCTATAAATATATATGTTCTTGTTATTGTGTGTTTCAATAGTAGATTGTATGTAGCGATCAATGTAAACAAAACAAATACTTAGTAATCATGTGAATTACAGTATAAGCAATGTAGAGAACATTTCGTCGGCAATTTCTTCATGCCTCTGTAGCTCAGTTGGTAGAGCATCCGCCTAGAAAGCGGTAGGTCACTGGTTCGAGTCCAGTTCGAGGAGAAAAATTTTTTTAATGAATTTTTCTGCCTTTAGCTCGTTCCTTTGATTACGTCATTCATCTGTTCTGCAATTGCATGAAGAAATTTCCATTAAGATAAATCGAAACACACGTTTTTCTTGCCTATGTCAGAAGTTTAATTTTTCAAAAAAAAAAATTTCAATAATTTTTTTTCGAACTTTTCAATTAAAAATAAAATAAAATAGACAAAATGGACTCAACAATAGTTTTTTCTGAGTTTCGCTTTTTCATAATCCTTTGCATAACATTTATTTTATTATATTTGAAAAATATTTTAAAATTTAATCGTTTGTCGCCTACTTCTAAAGTTTTTAAAAGTTTGAGATACCTTTCCGTTGAGATATTTTTGTCATTTTGCGAGAAATTACACCATTGTTTCTCCTTTCAAAGTTTTTTCAAGTTTTATATCAGACAGACCTAACCCATGGATAGCTGGCTAAAAATAATTTTTTGAAGTTAAGTTGCCACTAAAACACTATAATTTTTATAAACAAGGTTGTGTAATAAAACACACTCATTATATTTTAAATTTTTTTGATTACGGTAACATTAGAGCACAATTGTCTTGGAAATACGAAACATCACAAAGTGATAAGACATACGTGCTTTAACCGAATTGTTGTTGCGATTATTTCCTATTTAGCAAACGGAACAAACAATTAGTTACCATTAAGAAATTATTTTTGCGTATACCTGCACAATTTCGAGTTATCTGTATTTGATGTTAAATATTTTTAAAATATTTGTATAATTAGTGTATTAAGACGTATGTAAAGTTTACAAAGAAGAATCAAAATTGAAACATGTATAAAGCAATATATTTGAACTGCAAAAAATGTGAAATAGTATTTAAAAAAAATTTTTTATTGTTTTTAAATTTATTTCCACTTTTCACTTTCATTATTTAGCATATATATACATGTATATATTTCTTGAAGAAGTTTAATTTTTTCAGAAAAATTTGTTCGTAATATTCGCAAAAAAAAAATCTAAAATTTTTCATTATTACAATTTGGTTGCATAGAAAACAAAATATTATGGTTGAATGCTAAAATTTCTTAAAAGTTGTCAACTTGACGTAAAGATACCCATAATTATATTGAGTCAAAGATTTTAAAGAATTCTAACATCTTTGGTTGGATTAATTTGTTTTATCAAGAAATATATGAATGCTGGATAATGAGTATTCATTGGTTTAAGCTGAATATGTTGCACAAGCATATTTAAGTCAAAATTCATAAATAAGTATTAATTATGTAAAAAATTAAATTTTATTCATTTTTCGTGATTTTTTTAATGCTAACAATTTTATAGTTTTCTGTTATAGTAACATTGTTGGTTTTTAAGGTTTAAATAAATGCCGTATTACAAAAAAAAATCAGACAAATTTTGTATTTTTTTAAATTTCAGAAACTACATTTTGATCAAAAAATTTAGTCAATTATGATCAAAAAACAATTACATATTTCTCCTACTTATACATATAATCTTATATATAATTCACATTATATTCTTTTTAGACAGCATTTACACATCCAGCAAAGTTTGGCGATTTTGCCAGACTTGATTGAAATTTGATGAAATTTTGATGTATGTATGTATAAACATTTAATCACATCAAACAAAATCGTAAAGCAAAATAGAGTCTTGTCCAATTCATGTCAAACTTCCTGACAGAAATAAAAAAATAGAATGGCGAGGATTAGTTTTATTCGTTAAGAGCGCAGTGATCTGCTATTTATTTTCAAGTTTTTTTATATTGTTTCCAGTTGTTGAAAGCGGCTTTAAAAAAATTGTTAATGTTGTTGCCCACTATGCGAAAAATGTATAGTTCTTATATTTCGTATAAATCTAACATATACTAACAGTCTGATCGTGTATCGCTTTTTATTCACTTATATACTAATCAGAATTCTCAGTATTTTCTAATGGATGTTCGCTTTTCCACTAAGATTTCTAATTTTTTTGAATAAACTTACTCTTTCTCTCACTTTAAAAAAAAAGTGAATAAATTTTGCATAGGAATAATTCTTCTCACTCGAAAATTACATTATACAAGTATTTGATAGTTACTCACTTTCTTCTCACTTTGCGACTAAAAAAGCGAGATGGACGATCAGGAGAAAATTTCATTTTCTAGCAGAAACTAATTGTTCAATGTACTATAATTTTGGTCCTTTTTCAGCTGAAATTAGGGACTTTTCAAAATTTGCTGATTCCAACACTTGCCAGGTCGCATATATTTTTCTTAATAAAGAAAAGAAACCAACACAAACTACACTCCTTGACATTACAAAAATCACGACCTTGCCTTTTTTATGAATGAATTTAGCATAGCATAATATTCTTTTTTGGCGAAATGAAATTTCTGAAGAATCTTTTTTTTTTGTTGTTTCTTTGGAAAAATGATGATTTTTGCCTATTTTCATTCTGAATTCTTTATACGAAAAGTTGACTTTAACCCGACAATTTTTATACTTTAATGAAATCTGGAATTTTCTGAACAACATACATATGTATGTATATCATAAATTCAAATTTCAACTCAAAATTTTGACTAAATATATTTTCGGGTTTTTTCCGCATTTTTTGCACCGCCATGCCAGACAACATATCTGATGAAATTGAGAGTAAAAAATGATAGTACACTGAATTAAAAAAAATTTGGTGCTATATATTTGTTTAAAATACACACACGGCTTAAAATAAAGTTAACAAAAATTTTATTAGATTTTAATTTTGAATTTAAGTTTGTAATTATTTGATTTTGAATTTTATAATTTTGATAGTGCTTTTAAAATGTTATAATCATTATAAAAAATGCGTTGTTTCAAGTTGTCCCATCAAGTATATAAAAACAAACATACTAAAAATATTATAAAGACAAGATACTTGTATGAGTTTTAAAGTTTCTGATGCGGTAGTTTAGGTAAATCTGTGATTAGCCTTACTAACAATATGAAAATATGTTTTCCTAATAAAACTAAAATCAGTAATTACATACACACCTAAAAAGATTTCACATGAATTCTTTCACTTCAATTATGAAGCATATAAATTTAATTAATATAGTATAAATATGAAAAATATATAGATACATATATGTATGTATATGAAGTATGCATTTTGGGGAGACATGTCATATAAAATTAGCAAACTTTTTTATTAGTACATTTTGAAACATGTTCTACCTAAAAAGCAGGATTTGGAGATGCCTCTGAGCCCTTGCAAGCTGTTGCTATGCAATGCAATAGAGCGAGCCAATAGCAGGTGAGAAAATGGAAGGATATTCCGGGAAACCAGGCAACTTTGGCCTAGGGTAGATCATGATATCATCCGTGACATTGGCGGAGTTATAGGATTTATAACTGGACACTGTCTAATTGGCGAACACGCCAGGAAGATGTGACGCTCCGCTAGGGAGACGGTGGCTCATTTTCTGTGCTCATGCACAGCTCTGGCATGGAAAAGGTGAAGATTCCTTGGGTCGCATTTCATTTTGCGATTCACGAACCTAGCGAATGTGAATATCAGGGACCTAAACCGATTTATAAAGTACTCGGGCTGGTTCACGTGAGGGTTGGGACATGGAAATGCAGCAATATCACAACCTGACGCTGCATTTCCATGTCCCCACCTGACTTAACTTAATCTATATGCATATTAAAATATTTAAAAGAATTTTTAAATAAATAACAAATAACTAAAAAGGAAAGTTTTCATTTGAAATTTTGTGCTTCAAAAATTACTATTTGCCAGCTATCAATGTATTATATATTAAATCCATGGAAAGTGATATGCAAACGTAAATAAGCGATTTGGAAAAAACCGAAAATCTTCTTATATTTCTTTAATGAAAATTTTATATAAATATAATTATATCCTTATATTAAAATAAAGTATATCTATTAATTAGCAATTCGACTCTCCGTTTACATCACACTACGGCAATTACTCACCGACATTTGTATACAAAAAATTCCCGTAGCTAAAAGAGTTAAGCAGTATATCTTCTTATTTTCGTTTTTATACACATAACAATTTTTGGGAGAGGGAAAGAGTACGCAATAGATGTCTATCTGTTTTTTTATAATGTATTTTTAAAAGCGGGAGTCATTTATTTTTTCGTATATAAAGTATAGGAAAAATTATTAAGAATTTTAAAGGCGAGAGTTTTATTTTTGTAACTTATTCCAGTACAAGAAAATTATTATAATTTATAAAATATAATTTTGAAAAATAAGAAAAGACGTATAATTTTAAAAAAAAATTTAAACAGTTGTGAAAAAAATATTTTTTTTTATAAAAATTGGTAAGCATTATTTCATTTGTGGCCAAAAGATGTGGATAGGTAAATATGTTCTTTTGAAAATATTTTAAATATTTAGTGTTAAGCATTTGTAATTAATAACTATTAATAAATAAAATAATTA